TCCTTGCCGCCTGGACGGGTAGCGTGCTCCTGGCTTCACCCCAGGTAGGGCTCGGTGCCCTCCCCGGGTGGTTTGCCCGGGCTGGGGTGGTTTTGGAGAAGGGCTTCCCCATCCTGGCAGCCCTGACAAGTCCGTCCCAATCCACGGGCTCCACCACCACCAAATTTGCTTTGCTGAGCAAAGCGGTGTGGTTGCTGCGTTGGGTGCTCAGCGCTGCTTTGCACCTTCCTTATAGCACCTGTTCATTGCAACACCGTCAGGGTCTTATACTAAGGGCTGGGAAAAAATTATGTCCACTGTTTTTTATTCCTCATGCACGTGGTTATCTTCTCCTAAAAACACATCACTGCACCACTGCAAGACACGTTGGAGCAGACCAAGACAAACCTGAGCAGTTCCTGACCAAAATAACATTTGGTATGGCCAGAAAATTGGATTTCACAGCTGCCAGATCCCACCCGCCCTAGCCATAGCTGTGAGTTAGGTGCCCAGAGCACCTCTGCCTGTCCGACAGCAGCAGGGAGGTGCTCTCCATCACAGCCAGCAGCATCTGCAGGACGCGGTGCCCTGTTCCGAAGCCTCTCTGAGTTATTATTTCGTTCTCCATTTCAGCTTTTTCTCTTCCACCTGCACACGGTCCCGGGAGGGAACTTCACCCAGTGCGTTACACACGGAAGCTTCCAAGCGCATTGGGAGGAAACCGTCTACAACATGTTCACCTTCACCACCCTCTACATCACCCCGCTGAGCGTCATGATCGTTTGCTACATCCGGATCATTTGGGAGATCAGTAAGCAGCTAAAGATCAACAAAGGTAAGCAGGCCCCAGCCCTTTAGTGTCCACCATGATGACCAAACCTGCTCCAGACTGGAGAATTGTTGGGTCTGTCCCAACACCCTTTGAAGGGTAACCCAACTAAGGGGTTTTACACATATTTCTTGACCTCCATCCTTGCTGTCTTCTGCTTCCTGTGGGCCATGGTCTCATGAGATGCTCTCCCCTCTCTGGCAGAAGCACAGTCATGGAAGGTTACGTTCTTCTGGTGTTTTCCCATCTCCAGCTATTCTTTTGACTCTCCCTGGCAGGTTTGATAAGAAATCAAAACGACCACATCTCCAAGGCACGGATGAAGACTCTCAAGATGACCATAGTGATTGTTGCCACCTTCATCATCTGCTGGACCCCATACTACCTCCTGGGCTTGTGGTACTGGTTCCAGCCAGCCATGATCCAGAAGATGCCAGAGTATGTCAACCACAGCTTCTTTCTCTTTGGCTTGCTGCACACCTGCACCGACCCTGTCATTTATGGACTGTATACCCCCTCTTTTCGGGAGGACGTGCAGTTGTGTCTCAGGGGCATCGAAACAGTCATTACCAGGCACGAGAGACACAAACCCATCTTGGTCTCGGAGAAGAACATCAAGGATGGTGCTGTAAATGGTGGGGTGGCATCAGGGGGCTCCAATGGGACAACTGTCAACACGGTCTGCTGAAGAGATGTACCCACAAGGAGGTGGGAGGCAGAGCTTTGGGGGCTGCTTTGTCCCATAGGATCATCCTGGAGACTGTGGTAAGGAGGTTTGACACCCAGCTTTGGTGGGTGAGGGTCTCCAGCCAGAAACTGGGAATGTGTCTCCTGCCTGTACTCAGGGTGAAAAACATTCAGGGGTGTTTATGGTCATGTTTTCGTATTCTGGCAGCCCCGTGACAACTAGAAAACCATCCTTTTGGTACCCTGTGCATGCTCTAGCCCTGATTCTGGGATCAAGCATCTGCCACACTTGCAGCATCAACCCCTGTGAGGAGACACGCCATCTCCTCCATGGTCCAGGGCCGTGTCTGCTGGGGTGGCCGTATTTCAAGTGCCCTTTGCACCTACACCCGGGTGTGGAACTGCATGGATGCACTAAGTGGTGTCACCCTGAAACGCTGCAAAGGTGCGATCACAGGCTTTTACTCCATTTTCTCCACCCGTTGTAGGAAAAGCTCTCTGGATCTCCTGGATCAGAGCCTGCCTGTTTATCCCATGGCTGTGTGTCAAGACCTAGAAAGGATCTAAATCTTTGGGGAGTGACTAATGGAAGGGGCATTAGTCCCTCTGGGCATGGTGGGGAGGGAGGAGTTGCTGTGGGGATGGAGGCTTGGGCAAGAGGGGTACGAAATTGGATAGTAGGATGGGATAGGATGGGATAGGATGGGACAGGATGGGATGGGATGGGATGTGTTGGCACGGCACGACACGGCACGGCATGGGATGGGGTTTCTTCTCCCTTTTGGAGACAGCCAGAGGGAAAACAGTCCCTGCTGCCTTGTTCTGGGATGCAGGGGGTGGTATGGACACATCCTTAGAGAGAGAGTAGCTCTGTGGGACATAGGGTTGAGCAGGAGAGAGAGTATTTGGGGTAACCAAAAAGTGAGAACCAGACCAACACCGCCCAGCCCCTCTTGACGGTCCCTGTCCCCATGTCCCAGGGTTGCACGAGCTGGCAGGTCACAGACCACACACTGGGCTCTCCCCGTATTTGCTTTGCCCTAAGGGCCTGACCCAAGACCAGCACCTCGTCTCTGCCCCAGGCAGGGTGGGTGCAGCCACCCCACAGGTGATGGCCGGGATGTCCCAACGAGGAAGGTGATGGGAAGCACCTGTGGGTGGAGGGGCCCATCAGCACCCATGGATGCCAGGTGGGTGCTGGTGGTCTTTGGCTGCACTGTGAGGGTATGGGAGGCTGTTGGAAGGATCAGCTGAGCTGTGGTGAGTAAAATGAATTTTTTTTGCTTTTCACCAATGTGCCAGAAGTTGCTTGTGAAGGTGGAGGAGTCTTCTTTGGGTGTGGGTTGAAGAGATGGGTTTGTTCAACTGTGTTGTTCCTTTTTGTGTGATTAGAAATAGTGGATTATTTCTTTGTTCATCCTCTGCTGGTTGTTATTAAATGTATTTTTTTGCTTTTGAAGAGAAATTTAGTTTTCAGTCAGGTGGGGGTATTTTTGGCTCTGTGAAATCTTTGGGCAGCTCAGGAGCTCTGGACTTGGCAGAGGGCAGTTCCCTGGGCATTTCTGTGGCCACTGCAGCTTTGAATGAGCATCTGGACTTTATCAGGATGAAAGAGCTTTGTTTTAAAAGTGACTCTTGACTTGCTGTGCTTGCGTGTGTAGGG